TCAGCAGCACCTAGCAACAACACGACTCTTCTTACTTCTACTTTATTATTATTCCAATAAGGTAATTTTTCTATTAGCGTTGTTCCATATAAACAAAGGATTCTGTGGTGCAAACATATTTGAGAACCACTATGACAGCACCTAACAACAACACAACTCTGTAGATAATCCACCTTCATTAAATGCCTACTACATCTTGGGATTTATGGGGGCTACAAAGAGAACTATTTTCCAGTTTTGCCTTCAAGTAATTGTCTAGGGAGGAAAGAACATATAGATGTGCAAATAGGTGTAAAGGAAAAGTCCTAAATGCCACGAAAGAATGACAGATTGCTTAAGAGGCCTAGAGGAGCAGCCGATTACTTTTGCCAGGGGGGGAAATCAGGTAAGACTTCCTTTAGGTGGTATAGTTATCTCTTGCTTGAAACCAGCTGCCCCAGACTTTAGTTAGTTGAATTTACCACCACATGAAACCACCATTTATCTCTTAGAATTCTTTGGGTTGACTGAATGGTTCTGATGTTTTGGTTACTGGTCTGTGTTGGATATTAAAATGGAATGTCTAACAGTGTGCTCTTTTTTTAAAAATAGGAAATTTCTCCTCTTCTTTCCATGGAAGCTATGGCATTTGTTACTGAAGAGAGGAAACTTACTCAAGAAACCACATATCCAAACACTTATATTTTTGACTTGTTTGGAGGTGTTGATGTAAGTAGATTATTACTACTACTGTTACTACTACCATATAATGGTTTGAGAACTAAACTTTTGAAATGAGAAACAGGAAAACATCTCAATTTCTGGCATACATTTCAAAATTTTAACTTCTAGAAACTGTCGTGTTCATTTGTATTGAGGCAGCATATTTTAGGAGAATTGATTTGAATTGATTATCCATCTATCTTTTTTTTTTTTTTTTTTTAAAGAGCAGTAAAAAGTGTGTTTTTCTCAGTGCCCCCTTCTGAGAGGTAGCTTTGATTACTTGTGTCTTGTATGTTCTTGTGTGTTACCCCACTCCTCTACTTTGATTTATTTTCTCCCCACATAGTGGTGGTGTGCCATGGAGTCCGTTTCAACTCATAGTGACCCTGTACAGGGTTTCTGCGGCTATAAATCTTTATGGGAGCTGAAAGCCTCAGAGTGGCATACTAATTACATGGTGTAAGTAAATGGTGTAGAGGCTGCCTCTTACATCCTCAGGCTTCACAAAAGGGGAAGAAGACTCAAACTTACTAGCCCAAGGCCAATTCCTATGAAGCAGGAATCCATCTGTGTTTCTACCTTTCCTCTTTTACCAATTCTGAAAACCAGCCATCTCTCCCACACACTCTCAGCTAGGTTTGATCATTTATTATGGTGGCCAAACCGAACTCACAGACCATATGCACAATTATGCAGTTTATTAGGGAAGTTAACAGTACAATTCGGGATCAGAAATGCTCAGAATACAGTTCTTTGGTCAGGACAGCCTCTTCCTAGCCCTCTCTGGTCCTTGGCCTCTCCGCCACATTGTCCCTTGGCCTCTGCCCTGCTCAGTCATAAATGCCCAGAGGGTACTTCACTCTGCCATAAACGTCAGCCTAAAGGCCCTTAGTTTTAGCTCCATGGGTTGGCAAATCTAGTTCCCCCAATTAAGTGCCTGGAAACACTTTTGCTACAAACAAGCTACCTTCCTGAAGCCTACCACATTGTCTCATGCTCTAACTCTTGGTTCTTCTGCTGCCTTACCTTCGCCAACTTCTCTGCTGCTTCTCTGGTGTCATAGTTTTCTTTTGAGGAGATTCAATGCACATGGTATCTCAGAGTCCACAGGACAAACTTCACTCCTGCCTCATTTTTCTTGATGGTAATGAGATCCCTTATTCTTACTTCTGTGTTGGCGCATTTTATACTCAGTGGATGACAAAATTGACCATTCACCTTGTTAACTGTCTTTCACAGCTGAATCTTACAAGCCTATCAGCATCTTCCCCCCCCACCTTCTCTTGCCCAAGAGAAAAGTCACTTGGTGGGAGTGACAAAGACTGTCACTAGAAAAAACGTATTAAATAATTCTCTGCACTGCATATGGGTACACTGTTCTGTGCTTTGTTTTTTCCATGTAGCTTTGTATCTTTAGCTTGAAATAGTTTTGTTTCAGTAATTGTAAATCTGTCTCCTTATTTTAAATAACTACATAATATTCCTTGGTATGATTATTTGTTGTTAAGGTGCCATTGAGTCAATTTTGGCCCATAGCGACCCTGTGTAGGATTTCCAAGGAGCAGCTGGTGAGCTTGAACCATGGGCTTTACAGTTCAAACAATTTTGCAGTCTTAACGCATTAGCCCATAGCATCAGTACTATATTTATTTAGGCCTCAATTAAGGAGCTCTGGTAGTGCAGTGGTTACGAATTGGGCTGCGAACCTCTGGGTCAGCAGTTCGAAACTACAAGCTGTGGCTTTGTGCTTCCGTAAAGGTTTACAGCCTCTGATACCCTGAACAGAGTCACTATGAGTTGGAACCGGCTTCACGGCACATAACCACTAACCAGGCCTCAATTGATGGGCATGTTTTCTTACACCTTTGCAAATATAAACAATGTTGCAGTAAAGAGCTTTATGATATACTTTTGTGTATGGGTGAATATATACCTTTGGGATCAAAGCATATGGGTCTTTTATTGTTTATAAACTTGCTAATTTTGCATACCTAAGAGTTTTATTAACTTACATCTGCAACAACAAAGTAATAAGAGTCTCTGATTACCCACTCGAGCACTAACACAGTGTGTGTGTTTGTAGACTTTATTATTGAACTATAACTTGCATACTACTGAAAAAGTACATTAGTAATTCCTCCAAAATAAATACACCTGTGTTACTACCGCTTAAATAAAAATTTTAAAAAATTGAACCAGAAGGAGTCCTGGTGTGGTGCTGTGGGCTGATGCATCAGACTGTAAAGTCGTTTGAATTGCAAGGTTGATGGTTCAAGCTCACCAGCTGTACCCTTGGAAACCCTATACAGAGTCACTAAGGGTCGGAATCGACTCCATGGCACTTAACAAGTACCTAGAAGCTTTCTTTTAGTTTGAGAAATACTGAATGTGTTCTTCTCTTTTGGTTTTCTAACACCAGGTCTTTGCACATTTCATTATAATACTTTGTTTTCTCAAACTGCTCTTGAAATTTTCTGTTTATCTCTCTTACATTATCATTTCTCTTATTCATTTTAGCATCTCTATGCTGCAGAGCAAGTTTCAGAGTCTCTTCTGACATCCATTTTGGTCTTCTTTTTCCTGTCTTTTTAATGACATTTTGCATTCTTCCTGTTTAATGTTGTTGGTGTCCTCCCACGATTCTTCTGTTCTTTGGTTATTAGTGTCTAATGCTTCAAATCCGTTCTTGAGATGGTCTCTAAATTTAGGTAGGATATGTTCTAGATCATATTTTGGCTCTCGTGGGCTTCTTTTAATTTTCTTCTGCTTCAACCTGAACTTGCATCTAAGCAGTTGATGGTCTATTTCACAGTCTGCCCCTGGCCTTGTTTTAGATGATAACATGGAGCTTTTCCACCCTCTCTTCTCACAGATGTAGTCATTTTGATTTCTGTGTGTTTCATCTGGTGAGGTACATGTGTATAGTTGCCTTTTATATCATTTAAAAAGGTATTTGCACTGTTACATGGCAGTACTGAACTCTCTGAAAAGGCACGATGTGGAAAGTTCACTTGCTTGAGTTGAAAAAAATTTATGGACAAGAAGTTATCATTGAAATGATGGCAAACATGTTTAAATAATATTGTGGAGATATGATCCTTTTATGAATATTGTAGTAGATGAATGTATGGAGCTGGCAACAAGTGTATAGCAGAACAGTATTGGGATGTTGATAACATGAGGAAATAGTGTCATCATGCTAGAAGCCTTGGATCAAGTATAACTTAATAGTTGTGTTAAGCAGAGAAATCTATGACGTCTGCTACTCCCCACTCCAAAGAGCCTGTTTTACTGTGATGTAAAAATGAGGCTTTCATATTATTTTTTTGTGTTAAATAAATTTTTGTTAATAGTCAAAAAAATTAAGATGGTATTTGTAATGATTGAGTCATGGGTCTTACAATATTCTGTCATTCAAGCTCCAGGATATGTCTTCTTTATTTAAGTCTTCTTTTATGAAAGAAGATGTGTTAGGAGTGTACTGTATTAATTCATCAGTACTGGGCACCTAGTTCTGATTTCATTGGTTACCTCTACATTTTTTCATAAAAATATTGGTCTGCTTGTCCTGGTCAACTTGTGAGTGGACTGGTCAACTTGTGAGTGGAAACAGGGGAAATGCAGCAATGTAGACACCGATGACCTTGAGAGAAGAAGAAAGGCTAGCTGGTTTGAAATGCAGGGAGACTTGTGAACACTTGAGCCCAAGGACACTGACCTAGTCACTGGAGGCTAGAGTTAGAGTGAAGCAGCCAGATGGTCTGAAGTGGGGAGGGAGTGGTGGGCAAGAACTCCCAAAATTGCAGATAGTACCCATTTGACCTATCTTGGATGACTTGCTGGCCAGAACTCAATTAGATGAAGATAAAGAAGTTGATACAGAGAGCAAATGTAAATTGCTACAAATTGATGAACTGGACCTTTGCTTATGGAGGAAGTTGCCCCAAATTCCAATCAAAAAGGAAGGTTTATTCATATCAAGGATCAGCTTGCCTCTTCAGCACATTGGGTTGATAGCAACCGGCAACTTAGACTTTGGCTATCAGAATTGAGGTGATATAAAGGCATGAAGTGACTGGCTTACAAGCTTTCATGAAGGTGGTTAGGGTCAGAATGAAGGGGGTAAGATAGAATCCCCATTGAATAGTTTTCTTCTTTTCCAGGTGTGTCTGGTGATGAGGGAGATAGGATTTTATGATTCAGTTGTGTATTGTTATTAGGACTATGGTGATTGTCACAACTGTAAATGTAGAAGAGGTGTAACTAAAAGGGGGGAGCAGTTAATCTGTCATTTCAGGAACAGAGGATTATGGGATCCTAACCAGAAAAACAGTGACAACAGAGATGGTGACAGAAGTGATGGCATATAAAGATAGAGCAGCAGAGAACTATAGGCCCATGGACTGAGAAGGGCAGGAGGCTGGCTGGCAAAATGTGCCCTTTGGACGTTGAAATGAATAAGTATTTTCAAAGTGGTATGTGTACATCAAAAAAACAAAACAAAACAAAAACAGATAATAGAGGGAAATACTGTTAGCTGAATAGAGGGAAATACTGTTAGCTGATGGTGCATGGAGGGGATTGTAGCATTGCAATGATTGATTGAATGTAAAACGGATATCTGCTCTGTAGACCTTCACTCAATTCACAACAAAAGCTTTAAAGAAAAACAAAATATTGGTTTACTGCCTTCCTACCAACTTTATTTATTGTATGTCTTCCTTTCCTCTATCTAGCTTCCAATCTAGTAACCCAGTCAAGAAAGGAGGGAATTAAAATTTTGATTATTTTTAAATTAAATCATATTGTTTATTTAATTCAATATGATATTTCTTATTCTGGTGAACCTTGCTATTCTCTAATGATCACGGATTTCTTCAATTGCTTAAGTGTCACTGGTTACCAGTCTCTGGAATTGGTTGGAATACATTTCCTTTTAATTTTTTCCCCCCACTTTTGCTGCAATTTGCCCTTTGCTCCGCCACCCCCTTTTTTCTTTTTTAAAGATAGATTGTTCTGATATCTTTCCTGTTTTCTAGGATTTCTTAGAAATTACCAATCTAGACTTTAA